GGTCAAAACTAAAGTTCTGAACTGCAGGATGATTCGTCGGCATCCACGACGCCTCGGTAATTGTAATAATAATTTTACTTTTCTTTTCTTTTTTATTTCCAAAACTTAAAATTTGATTTTTGATAGTACCTATTTCATGCCGAAATCATAATAATAATGATGATAGGTATTACGTTTATCCGTTTAGAAATTGTTACCGACGCGGTCGCCAACATCGTGCTGCAGGTTTCTTTACAATATTATTATACGACACGCTCAGTCGCGTATATCGACCACCTTACAACGCTACAATATAATATTTTTCGCAATAACACACGATATTGTATTATTATAATAATATATAAAACTACGGTGTCGGTGGTGATATCGGAAACGGGATGTCGGTTGAAATTCAGCCATATATATACATATGTGTGTGTGTGTGTGTGTGTGTGTGTGTGTGTGTGTGTGTGTGTGTGTGTGTGTGTGTGTGTATTCCTGCACGAACACGTCGCGCGGCGCACAATATATACACGCCGGCCAGCGTCGCCGTGAAGATATTATATTATATTATTATTATTATTATTATTATTATTATTATTAAAATCGCTCGTGGTAGTCGGTAAAGTCGACCCGACGTGCGTGCGCGGTTGCGTGTGGGTAGGTGGGTGGATTGGTGGCCGGGTGGGCGTGGGTGGGTACACTCGATATAGGACCGGCGTCGCTGCTGCTGTGTGTACAACAATACTTTTACGCGCTATAATACGGCGGCAAGAACGACGTACGTGACCGTCGGTTGTCGGGCCGATAATAAATTCCGGTCACCGCCATAGTCCCTCCGTATGTTAGATCTGAGGCATTGGTGGGTGGGGGAATCCCGGGGGACCCACGGCCGGCGACACTCGTTTATTGTACAAAATGTTGGCGTGTGCTTAAAAATCTACGGCGGCGGCACGTGAACATTTCGGGACGATTGTATCGGCGGCGGCGGTCACCGGTCCTGTGGGTCAGCGCGTGGCGCGAGAAATTAATATTCGTACCAAAGTCCTGGAGACGGTGTGCATCTGCGACTCCTTGTCCTACGAGGGCTACCCGGACGAGACTAACGCCGCAAATCGGTCAGTGATTTTGGGTAACGTGGTCAGTGTGTAAGTCGGGTGGATGCCTAGTCACACAAACACCGCACTCGTTATGATGCGAGTACATGGAGATAATGTAATGATAATTATTATCATTTCAAAGACTTATATTAACACACTTATTGTCGGGGCTACAAACCGAAAGTATTACATTTCGATTTCGGCTTTGGTTATTGGCATTTATTTTGGTTTTGTCTATCTGTATTTTTGCCGATTTCAATTTATTATTGTCATCGAGCAAAAGTAATAATCGACTCAGACATGATAACCCCTTGTACACGTTCTGTAATTGTTTGATTTACAAAATGTTGATGTGAGCTTAAAATACCGGCACGTGACAATTTTGGGGCAGTGTGTGCTCTTGCATCCGCGGTGGCCAGCGGTCCTGCAGGCCTGCAGCGGTGAGAAATTAATATTCGAATTAAAGACTCGGTGGAGAGAGACGGTGCGCAATTTGCTACAACTGCTGCCCCTGTCCTACGGGCGACCCGAACAGAACTGCCTATCGTGTAGTTATGTAACGTGGTAGTGGTTAGTGGGTAGTCGGGTACTCGTTATAATGCACCACATGATAATATAATGACAATTATTTTGATTATTATAAAGGCATATAAGACGTAGGTACACTTATATTGTTACCATCGAGCAAAAGTAATAAACAACTTATACGAGATAACTCTTTGTACACCAGCCGTACTCGGATGATTTCAGTCGAATAAAATCTAAAATATGCTAGAACTGAGATCGGACATACCCAACCCGACTTTTTTTTGGTGGTCTCGACATTTCAATCATATGTAAACTTATAGAGGGATATGCATTGAAATCGACAAAATATGTTTAAAAATTATATATTTTTTTTTATCAATATCGAAATTTAAATTTTTCTGTAGGTATCAGCATAATTTATTATTGTTATACAATCGCGTTATTGACATAGGATATCAGTAAATCACTTGGGTATATTATATTTCAGTTCATTAGTTTAAAATAGTTTAACTTTATTGATTTAAATTATATAGATACAATACCTAGAAGAATCATATTGATTACTGATGAAAAAAATATAATACATTTGTACGTTAATACTGAATACCAACATCAAAACATATTCAATTGTATTAGAAAGCAATAATATAATGTTATTTCAAACAGATTTAATTTATTTTATTTTTATTTCACATTATTTTATATTATTTTATGAAAACAATACCTTTCGATCTGCTGCGAAACGTCATGGTTGATAAAAATGTGTGTCATGTATGCTTGATCTTTTAAGCATACTATGTTCCGGGTACTTACCTTATAGATATATATCATTGAATTTTTTCTTATGACCCTAAAGTTAAATAAATATTGGTATTGATATGTAATACAATAAATTATTGAAAGCCTAATTCAGTTTAAAAATGCATAATTTTGTTCGAGCACATAAATACACAATAAAATAATTTCCACTTTTTTTTTTATTCTCAAATAGTTCACATATTTTTGCCGTTGCTTAATTTATTATATATTCAGAAAGAAATAAGCTTAAAACCACTGTAAATATTAAAATTTATTTGTTTAAAATATTTTACGAATCCGAAAATGTTTATAAGCGGCGTCAAACCAAACCGATAATAGAACTAAAATTTGAAAAAAAAAGTTTAAACCATGACTATAAGTTTTAATAAATACAAGAGAAAGGATTTACCAAAGAAAAACTGAATAGCATATGTTTATACCAACTGTGGTTGCGTAAACTTTTGCATTATAGGAAAAAAAATGTAAATACGTAATATTGTATCACTGATTTTCAAAAACTAAATACCTTTTTATTTTTTTATCATATATTAATAGTATATATATTTTTAAATGATTAAAATTAGAATGTAAAGGCACTTTGTTTCAAATAATTTCTTTAGTGAAAACATTAAATAAAAATAATTGAATATAATTCTAGTTAATTTTGTAAATCGATTTATTCAAAAACCTTCTTCAGATTATTTTCATTTGTTATAAATTAATGGAAAAAGTCTTTATTCAATTAACTAATCTATAACTTATTATATTTTTTATATAATATTACTTTTAAATAAACTTCATATTGTCTTAAGGAATTACATAGGTATTTACATAATATTAAATTATATTGTTTTAATTTTGATTAGTTTCTCTAAAGAACTTCATAACGACTAATCGGTAAATTTTATCATTTTTATTTTTAAAATCATCGTTACGTAGTTGTAACCAAACAAGGTTTTAATTAGTTTTTGTAAGTGTATTGTACATTCAATTATTAGGTTCAAGTTGTCCACAAAGACAACAACGGCAATACGACATATAGGTACGACATAAATAAAAAAATTTACGTCATAGCAGATCAATTGCAGTAAAAATTATAAAATATTATATGGTATCAATTTTATCAATTTAATCAAAATTTGATTGTTTTTATTTTAAACAAAACACTTATCCCTATTAAAATTATTATAATTTTTGTTTTATCAACAATGCGAAAAATGAAGTTATTTGTATTAAAACAATAACAGTATTAAGCATATAATTAAATTTTCATGATAAAAAGTCTGCCTTATCTTTCAGTTAATGCTTGTTAATCTTCTACACTTAAACTTAAGGTTATATAAATATTCTATTTTATTGATCAATCATCAAATAGCTGTCGAATTTGTCAATTATGTACATAAATTAATTAAATGTACAACTTACAACCATCTGGTGATCTCCTTTCTCATTAATCGCGTTTTATCCCTGCAGTTGATGCAGATTAGACTCAACTATTTTTCCATTAATTGTAATGTTAACCCTTGTGCCTATTTATACCGTATAGTATCAAATACAGGAGCAGAACTAATGAGCAATGACCCAAGTGTTCTATTTCACCATGAAATTATAGTTCCATTTGAATAAAGTTTATTTTTATATGAAAAATTTTAATTTATTTTGATAATTAAAACCAAATAATATTTAGTTAACCCTTTTTAAAAATTAATCTTAAAACTGCAATTGAAAATAAATTTAATGACAAAAATCATTATAACTTAATTGCCTAACCCACATTTGAATAAGTAAATTACAATTTCAATAATAATTCAATGTTAAGTATTAATTCGACGGTACAATAGGAAAACTGTTCTATAGAGATATTACCTACCTATTTATTAATTGATAAATGTTTTTTTATATGAAAATTATTGAGTAAACCATTGAAAGTATCGATCAAAAATTTGGAGGATTTTAATTTGGTAGTTATATATTATATACTCAGCCACATACAACCATACTTCATTTTGTAAACCACATAATATAAATTATTATTTACCACGAGGATTGATAGACGATAACAAGAGTTGTGTGTATTACACACTAATGTTCCGAGGGAGGGGGTGGTATTATATATTTATCTTTACAAATCGTCAAAACCAAAAAAAACCTAGCAACGAAACTAAATAAAACTAAAATTGTAATTTTACATATTATTATCTTAAACGTATTTACACGAAAATTATAATATTGTTATATATAATATGTCTATATTGATAGTTAATAAATGTTTTCGTATACACCTATCCATCTATTAATTGATAAATATTTTTGTACATGAAAATGATTGAGGATACCATTGAAAATGTCGATCCATAATTTGGAGGATTTAAATATTCAGTAATTAAGTATGTAGGTTAAACCATCATATTGCATTCTGTAAAATGCATAATGTACATCATCTACCACGTAGATCGATAAGAGTAGTTATATGTTTATAGGTACAAAACTAATGTTTGGGGGGGTTATATATTTTTTTTTTCAAAACCTCACGACCAGTCCTTAGCAACGAAACACTTTGATCAGATCATTAGAATAATGTGACCAACATCCTACCTTTGCCATTGCCACAGCGGGAAACGTATCCCAAATCAATTGCTCCTCTTCGCCTTGGTTACCCCGCCTCTGACCTTTGAATATCCTCGATGCGGTCAACGTGGACGCGCCCATTCCATCGCCGACCAAAAAAACCACGTTTTTCGCTCTTCCCATTTTACCCTCGAAGCTGGCCAACCGTTTTTTCAACGCGGATCGTGCCTCTTCGTACCAATGGTCGCGATCTGAAAAACAAAAATATTTTATAATATCATCAGTAAAATATTCAGCCAGCTGTTAGGAAGCTAGGAATAATTTTAGCAGCTATAGGTATTATACTGTTGTGTAAATTAATTTCAACAGGATGTGTAAGCTATAACTGACGGTATCGAGTCCTTCATTATTTTTCTACTACACGCAATACATTGTGATTATTTAACCATAAAACACTCATTATTTCAAAGGTAAGTTCATGAGTTATACGTATTTAGAGCTTAGATGATCGGTGTGTAGTGGTACGCGGTTACCACGCAAAATGTTTGTCCACTACTCCGCCCATCAATACTTACAATACTAGTAACCCTTAAACTACTCATATCAATATTAAATTATTCTGCTTTGGAATATTTAATAAAAACTGCATGTTGTCATTTAAAAGACCAAAAATGCTTAAAATATAATTATCATAAAAAAATATTTTAAATGTGGTTTTTTAACTACTAGAAACCACCTAGGTAAAAACTTTTTTCATAAACATTAATATTTTTTTGAAATAATGAATTTTTCGTGATAAAATAATCACTTTGTATAGATATCACCTATGCTATAGCCTATAGTTAATACTGTATTTTGAAAACATGACGCTATTTTTTCTTAACTATTGACTAAATTAGGTCTACACTTGGGTTCACAATATGTTATCAATAACTAGACATCATGGAGTATTGATTGGTTGGCGGTAAATAGTAGATTAATTTAATTAACCCAATGTATTCATTTTTTAAGTGAAAATCTAGAATTTAGGATGACATATTGTTGAATATTATAATCAGTCCATTCTATAAAGCTTATACATATTTTCATAAAGCGTTAAGTGTGTACATTTAATGTAAATATTTATAGTTTGAAGTCTTTGGGACTTTTAATAACTGCTGTTGTGTTCAAAGGAGAAAAATTCTACTTCGTTAGTCGGGAAATATTGACGATGCAATTATAAGGATATTGACTATCCCGAAGGTACCTTATTTTTGGTGTTATTCAAAAAACCATTATATTTATTATATTTTCCATTATGTTGAACAATGTTATTATTCACTATCATTTTTAAGTTTCATACTTTCATAAAACCTATAATAATCATTTCAGATTATTTATAAAACAAATATTTATATATGTATATAATATTATGCTTTTTTGCAAAAGTATGTGTAAATAGTGTTAGAGTAAACAATTGTACATTCCTATTTTAATTAATTTTCACAAATGTGAATAGTTTTTCAGAGCTTAAAATAGCAATTACTATAATCTAGGCAAATTTTTATGCACACTTATCTACTTATAATAGTTATAAAAGTTTTTTTTTCAATTATTCGTTAACAATAAAATACATTATAACATTGAGTTGTTGCAACAAAGTTTGAACAGACATAATGGATACATTTCCAATAACGTTTCGCATAAAACGCGAGGACCTTAAAAGACTTGTGTATATTATCTGACGTTTATCGGAAACATTATAACTACATAACGGCCTTACATAATTTACCGGTCGTTCGGATGTTATAATATGATATCGTCATGATTATCATAATAAAAAAATATAATAATCGGAAAATGACAATAATTAAATTGTATAATAATTGGAAATATTTTTCGAACAATATATTTTGCAGGGTGATAAAACTTTTTCCAAGGACACGATATCATTTATCTCCCCTAAACCGAATACATATAGGGGTTATCTTAAATGAATCTAACCCCGGGGAGCGTTTTGGCGAATGTATACAAACTCAATCGATACATATAACCGCTCTGCGTTAATGGCGCGTAGTTGACCAGCAAAACGGGTAAAACGAAAATAAACAAAAAACGATTTTAAATTGACGAATTCGCAGCCTCGCGTTATATTATGTTCGGCACCTACCTACCTATTTCGATTGCATTACATATATTATTTTGTTTGATGACTTATTATTGGTCTATATCTACGTATAAGTATTGTTTTATCAATAGACTTTATACTACTGGAAAAATAACTGTTTATAACCACAGCATTACGAGTGGTGCAACATTATATGATGTAGGCTGTCTTGACAAAAAAATACAATCATCTCTATATATCTTACCCTACTACCGGAGTCATCGAGTAATAAAAAAGCGCCCTCTGCGTTGTTACTTTTTTCCCAACACTCATAGCTGGTCTAGTAGTAAAAAGTCTATGGTTTTCTCGCCTTATCTAACATATTATCACAGAATGTTTAAGTGACGTATTATTGAGCACTATAAATAGGGAGAGACATTGCGGCCATGATAACTATAATATTCCATGTAAAGTCATTATCATAGCATTTCTAGGGGCCATATTTCATAGAGTAAACTCAGCTTTATTGGGACACATCAGCTGAGTGTGATCTTTTTCTTCCAGTTAAAAGGTTGCCAGAATAATCAAAAAAAAAAAGTAACATTGCAATTTGTTGATGGCCAGTTACTCATTCATTAATACTTAATTTATTATAGAAGAATATTTTTATAACATAATAAATACATAAACTTACATTTTTTTCTTTGATGCACTTTGCACAGGGGCAACTGCGTGTGCATGTGAATTTTGGTGTCGAAATACCATATTTTTTTTACAAATTACAATGTTTTTTCACCTACACTATTTCACCTAGGTACTTATTATAATTTCATCTAAGAGTAAATTTGAAGTATAAACCAATAAATTAGCTTTGAGAAAATTACTATGCATGTTTGTATTTTTCATTTAAATATACCTTTATTATATTTTGTAATTATATTTAAATTAGTAAAACATATTATTAACCTTTTGACAAGGAATGCAATGAAATGTTAATTAAAAACTATTATTTACTTATAAAATAAAAAAGTTACTTGTATGTTATTACTTTTCAGTATAACCTACTTCTATTTATTTACCTATTTACATAGGAAAATTTACTTGGTTGGGACATGGAAATGTTAAGTGAAAACGCTGTATCTATAAATTAGCTTTTAACTAAAATTCAAATAAACATGTTTAGTTTTTATAGTTTTAACTAAATTTAATAACTACGTACATATATTATATACATATAATACATATATTGCACGGCGTTTATGATTAGTAAATGTAAAAAATGGTGTTCTCACTTAGTACTAGTCATTTTTTTTTTGTTACTTACGCCATTTCCAAAGAAAGACAATTGTGTTTATTACTTACACATTATACGATTTCAGCGGTAGTATTCCGACAAAAGATTTGGATTCGGATTGGTTTATTTACAGATGTCATATATAATTATTTTTAAACATTTTTTTTTTTAGTTACTTTTCCTTAGCAGAGAAACTGTATTTGTATAATATTCCAGTGGAAAACAAAGAACGCAAAGTGTATGTTGTACTACGTTCTGCAGTGTAATGTGCTGTAAGAAATGAAAATGTGGTGCTTGTGAACAAAGTCTCGTACCATTTGTTCCGGATTGTCTACGTGTGATTATTGTATTATCGCTGTACCACAATGTAAAGTGGTGAAATACAAATAATTAATTTAACAAAATTACGTCATAGGTATATTGTTTCCCGTTTTCAATGATTTCATGTAAATGCATATGTAGACAATGCATGACGAGTATCACGTAGATACAATTAAATGTTATTATGTACCTACACAACTATGATCTGTTATACGTAATCATTGTAAAATATGATTTTTTTTTTTTTAATTTCCCTTGTAAACTCGAGTTGAAATTATAAAAAAAAGTGCTAAATGGATTTGATTTAATACCTCTCGTTTTGTTGAATTCATTACGATGATGCACACCTGTGATAATAAGACGAATAAAATCGGTCCGTTAACAAAGAAAATACATAAAATAAAAACGTGCTTTATAGTTACAACAATTCGGTTTAATAAAAATTCCAATTCAATTATATAATTTTTTTTGGCCATTAAAAAAAAAAAAATGAAAATGAATTAAAATAATAAATTACAAAGAAAAGTTTCGGAAACCTTTAATATGGTGTATAGAATCCGGCCCATAACACGATTTGGAAATACAATTATCCTTAAATCATTATATTTTGAATAAAAAAGTTATTAATATTTTAATGGTTACATATTGTATAATTATTTATATTCGTATAGAAATTCAACAGACGTGCAAAATAAAAATAAAAAATAATATATTTCCATCTTTCTCGTCAATAAAATAATTGGACACTTTTCACGGCAAAAAAATATATACACAATATACATGAATAGAATACCTTGATATTTTTTAGAGTAAACAAAGTCTATCAAATTCATTAAATGGATCAAGGAACCTCTCCATAAAAAAATAAGTAAACAACAAATAAAAAAAGATACATTTTTGGGAAAGTAAAAAAACAATAAACGACTTCTTAACCTACTAGACAACATATAGGTACACAATATAACTATGGCAGTATAAGATTAATAAAAAAAAAGAACAGACATGTTTCCTTAACTTATTACGTTCATCCTTATTAGTTATTACTATAAAATGTTACACAATTTCATAATACCATACATCAAACTCGTTAAGAAATTTAATTCACACTGGTAATATATTTTAAATTTACAACGAAACATAATTTCAATATATTTTTATAAGTATACTAACTCATAAGTCATAACCATATTGTTAATGCAATTCAGTATAATATTGTAAAACTAATTGTGTTATAAAACTAACATAAACTTAAAGAACTTGTATTAAATTTATCAAACCTGGAATTTAAAATTGATCTTATCATAGATGAACAAAATAATATGTATCAATTCATAAAAATGTTTTTTTTTAAAAATATTATATGAATTTTTCCTATTTCTTCTCACGAATAATATTGAGCATAGTATGTGATAATCCAACTTTCACTTATTCATTTAAAAAATAACATAACACCAAATCGTCATTAAAAATTAATTAAACCAATAAGTTTAAATTCAAAACATTGTACGATTTGTACGGATAAAAAAGTCTCACCAAATGTATATTGCACG